TCCACTCAGTCATCCGCCAACACGCTGGGTGGACTCATTGACGAAACTGTACGCTGTTTGATCAACAGTGGAACCAAGGGTCGCAACAACCAAAAAGAGTGGCGGAACGTCGAAGTACGTGTGTGGCGCGCCCGTTGATACCAACACGTCAGATAGAGGGAGAGAAGGGCGTTAGTGTGCACTGCTTTTCCCGCTTCTTCTTGCCCATGCTGAAGAAAGTCGAATCAGTCATCTTCGAATCGTTTGAATTTGATCAGTTTGAGGTTCTTCTTTGCTGCTTCCACGTCAAGTATAGTGCATCTCTTCCTCAACAATCTCCTTTCCTAAAGGTGAACTGGACCCATACGCACTCTGCAACTCTGCACCTGATGTGCCTGTGATCGCTCCTTCAATTACCTGTCCAGAACGCGATATTCTGCATTGTGTTCCACACATCACTGAGGATGACATCTACTCTATGCTTGACCTCGTTTGGATCTTTCCATGTTTGTTTTTCGCTTCATGTCTTCCAAAAAAATATTCATAATAAAAAACTTGTTCTTATCGATAATCTCCAGTTGTCGGTTACCCATGTCGTTCCTTTCGCCATAACCAAATTTGTTTACATTCCTTTCCTTGATGCGCTCCTACTTTGGAGTTGAAATCACCAATGATGAATTTGAAATGGTTATTTCCATGTTCATGCACTTCTTCTATTTCATCGTAAAAATGTTAATCTCTTACTCAAGATGACTTAATGCCGGCGCATGTACTTGAGTCATATGCGGTTTATATTTGCATCCCTTTGAAACTCTGAGAACAATTCTTACACGCTTCTTCCTCATGCTCTTAACTTCTACAGTATTGTTCTTTATTCTTCGGTGGATAATAAATACCATTCTGCACTTCCATTTTCGGTTCGTTTTTAGAATAGAGGGTATCAACTTTTAAGCTCTAACATCCCCTCTTCATTCGTTTAAATTCGGTTGGTTTGGCAATGTACCACTTGATTCTGCGAAGTTTTTCCAGCGCTGGAAGCCTCCCATTCAGTAACAGTGATACGCAATTTTACCAGCGTTAGTAAGGCGTAACACCTCTCATCCATAACACTAGTATTTTAGCAGCACCTGCCTTCATGGCTGACCTGCTGATTCCTGCGCAGACGACAACACAGTCTTGAATAATTCAGGGCCGTGATTTCAGTCATAATTTCGCCATAGAGGATTTGTCTATCATTAATTAAGCTGGGCATGCGTGTTCGGGGGTACTGCATCTTCCATATGGCCTGGTACTTTGATCACGCTTTCACAACATGGTTGAGCCTTCCAGAACTTAGAGGCTTACCTGTACACAACCCAGAGTACGCGTAATCATCGTCCTGACACTTTGAGGTAGTAGAAGTAGGACTTAGAGTCATATTTTATCAGTAAATGAATATCTGTCAAATTCAGAGTAACTCAAGTAGTAGAGAACAAGATCTGAAGTCCAACGACCACAGGGCCGAGTCCTGGAATGGTAGCTGGCCATGTTAACAAAGTGCCTACTTCGATATCGCGACGTATGAAGGAAAAAATTATTATATGCTGTACTTACAGAAAATGCGTACAAAAGCTGTGTTTTGCCAGGTGGTGCCAGGACGGAAATTACCGCCGAACTGTAAGGTCCATCATTACATAATGTCAGAAGTAAGGAATATCAGCACACCATTGGCTATAAAGTTCCCTCTTTCTTTGAGCACAGTTTGTTTCTAAGTGAATGCACGGCATCTAAAAATTTTCGCAGCCCCATTCTTCCTCGATAACAGATACGCAATATTGTGAGAAGTTTATTACTACCGCTAGCCACTTCTCATTTGATAAACAAGATCAAAAACACATTTCGATATATAGTAATTTATGTTACAGGTTTCAGACGTAATGCCATTAACAGCAGAATATTATTTGCGTATATTTAACCAAAAGCACTGTTTGCAGTCCTTTCCATCTGCTTTCAATTTCTAAAATGCACCGTTCTTCGAGTTAACATTTTCATGCTGCTTTCTGGCCGTTGTTTGCGCTAAAACGATCTGAAACAACTAATTCTCCTCTCGAACAAGTGCATCTGAAATACCTTTGCACCATAATATCGCATAGCACTATATTCTTTTACCTTTCTGATTGAACTGCGACTTCGGAGAACATTCGTGTGGCAGTTCTGTTGATGGAACTCGTTTGTCAAGAGTAAATTGACTCTTTAACCTCTCTTCTTCCCGTGTTTCCGAGCACCTGAATTCATCATTTCTCTTCAGAAAAAATCCTCCTCAAAGAATATCCTAAGTACCTGACAAGGCTTGTCGTTTCCTCACGTTAA